GTTGGCAGGATGGGAGGGGGGGGCAAAGCAGGGAGAGGGTGACAGGAGAGGGGTCCAACTAAAAGCTGCCCCAAAGATCCAAGATGGCTGCCCCAAAGATGGCCACCTTACCTCCCGGAGATGGGCTGGCTTTTGAGCTCGTAGAAGTTGTCCCCGGCCAAGGAGAAGACGTTCTCTAAGTCAATGTCGGCGACGATGCCCGACTCAGGGAGCAAGGACTCGAGGCTGGAGTGGGGGGTTGGGGGGTGGGACAGGGCGAGTGTGAATCCTCACGCATGGCCCTCGTGCAAATTTCCCACGGTGCGTCCCCACCTCGTGCCTCCCCGGAAGGCACAGGAGTTGCCCATGGGCGTTGGCCATGGGCGTCATTGTCATGAGGGGCTCACAAGCGCCCCCTACTGGCTGGTCCCTGCCACCAGATGCTTCCCCACCCCCTGCCCATCCTGGTGCCAGGCCCTCGGGCAATGAGGGGTTGGGGGGCAGGGTGACCCCCCCGACACACTGGAGCAGGGGGACACTTCCTGGTTTAGGATTGACGCAGAGAAGGAGACCCAAGGTGGTGGGGTTGTGGGGACCCTGAAACGGCTGCTGGGGGGGCTTCCCAACACATGCATAACCCCCATCTGCCACTCATGCACCACAATCCTCCAACACACCCCACCCACACCACACACAACCCCCACTACAACACACCACCCCAATACACAGCGCCACACACAACTCCCCCCATAACACACAGAGCACCCCAACACACACCACACACTCCACCCCAACGCACAACCCCGGCAAAACACACGAACCCACACACAACTCCCCCCCACAACACACAACCCCACAACCTCTGATAAAACCCCCCACGCCATCCCAACACACAACCTCATGACCCCAGACACAGCCCTGCACAACACTCCACAACACACAACCCCCGCCACACACACACACAACCCTCCCACACCACCCCGACACACAACCCCCCCACACCCCTCTTGGCCCCAGAGACTCTCACCTTCCGCACTCCAACCAGCAGCCCTGACAACACCGCAGAGACGCACAACTCCCGACAAACAACAACCGCCCTTCGCCAGACCCACTACCCGTCCCGCCCGCACCGACCCACACCCCCAAAGACATTTCATCAGCCCCCTCTCCCCCACAATACCCACAAAACACCCCCTCCCCGGTTTCTTTTCTCTTGGGATCTCACCCCTGGAACCTGCAGGCTTCACCCTGTGTGGAGCAGGCAGGGATCTGTTACGGGATCCCTTGTGCAGCCCCGGCCCAGGATCCCAGGAGATCTCTGGCCAGGGCAGCCCTTGCCAAAAAGGAGAGGGGGCTGGGATCTAGTGGGTCCTTGGGGCAAACTTTTACCAGGATCTAGTCTGTCCCGGGGATCTGTTAGCAGGAGCTAATTGATCCCTAAGAGAATGTCTTAGCCAGAGCTGAGATCTAGTTGATCCACCGGGGGAACCAGCTCTTTTTGTGGGATCTGGGATCCAGTTGATCCCTGGGACAAATCTCTAAACGGGAACAGGGACCGAGTCTGCGCATGCCTGGGAGAAATCCAGCTTCCAGATCCACCACCCCTGGCTGCAAACGGGCCTTCCTCCCCGGCACCAACCTGCGCCAGATAGTTCAGGGGCAATCGTGGGGGGCCGTGTGTGGGTGGGGGGGTGTCAATCTCCCCCCTCCCCACTTTGGGAGCAACCGATTCACTTCCCCAGAGCGAATCAACCCGGTGTGAACACTCCTCCCCTCCCGGCTAGGACCCGGAGAGCGCCAGGCAAAAAAGGCCAGAAGAGAAATTGGCAGATTTCACTAGTGGCCAGAGATTGGGGGCGGGGGCATCCCTTTGCCCAGCTCTGATCTGTCCGTCCCCAAGGATCAGACCCCGCCGGGGGAGGGGGGGGATTGTGGCTCCTGGCCTGCGGCCCAAGGGGGGCAGATACTGGGGTGATCTAGGGAGGGGGGGGCCGCCCGTGGCTTTCCCACCACTCCCCAGGCTTGTTGCTTTTAATAGTAGGCGGAAAAAAATAAACAACGTGACAGGGGCCAGCAGGGGGCAGCACTGGGAGACAAGCACCTTCCCCCCCCCCGCCCCCCCAGGGACTGCCCCTGCCTTGCAGGACTCCCCCCGCCCCAGTAAACGGGGTCATTCGAGTAATTTAATGACCAGCCTGCCCCAAACCAAGACGGATGGGAGTCAGGACTCCTGGGTTCTCTCCCAGGCTCTGAGAAGGGAGTGGGGTCTAGCGGTTAGAGCAAGGGGGGCTGGGAGCCAGGACTCCTGGGTTCTATCCAGGGGTGCTGGAACAATTTTTATGCGGGGGGGGGGAATTGAGGGGGGATGCCTTGACCCCAGATACTTACACAGCTCTTTGGAGGGGGTCTCTGCAGACACCGTGCCCCTCCCTACCCCCATCTCAAGCCCCAAAACACCCCAGCTGGAGACAGGGTTCAAAGGGTCAAGGGAGTTTAGGCCTTTCCAGGCTTTTGGGGATTAAAATACAGCCCCCCCCCCCCCAAATACACACACAGTTGGAAATTGCAATGATGAGAGTTATAGTCTTGTCTCCCACCCTTAACCCCCCCCCCCCAGCAGTCAGGCCAGACACCCGCTTCTGCTTTCAATATGACATGGGGCAGGGGGGTGCGGGTTGGGAGTGAGGGGCACCAGCAGAGCGGGGGGGCCGGGACTCCCAGTGGCGGAAGGAAATTGAATGGCTGGGAAAGACGCGGACTCAGCAGCTGGAGGGGAAGTCACAGGGTGGGGGTCAGCTCAGCTCCAGGCTGCCTTGGGTGTGGAGGGGTCTGGGGGTGGGGGGGGCCCTCTCACCTGCGTGGCCCCAGTTCTCCTGGAAAGGTGAAGTTCCCTCCCTCCCCCTCACTGGAGCTTTGTCTGAAAGCTAACCCCGCCCCCCACCCCGCAAGAGCCTTCTCCACTGCCCCCCCCCCCCGCAGCAGAGCGCCTGGTTCCCTCCCCGGCTCTCGAAGGGGAGTAGGGGCTAGTGGGGGGAGCAGGGGGGGCTGGGAGCCAGGACTCCTGGGTTCCCTCCCCGGCTCTGGAAGGGGAGTGGGGGCTAGTGGGTGGAGCAGAGGGGGCTGGGAGCCAGGACTCCTGGGTTCCCTCCCCGGCTCTGGAAGGGGAGTGGGGGCTAGTGAGTAGAGCAGAGGGGCTGGGAGCCCGGACTCCTGGGTTCCAGGCCTTCCCCCAACTCGCTTTGTGACCGCCAGTGACTAGCCCTCTTGTGGCCCCCGCCCCGCTCCAGGGATCATTAACCAGACCCTGGAGCCCGGGGGTCTGGGTAGGGAGGGGCCAGAAATGGCCACAGAGCAGGGCTGGGGGAGGGGGGCTCTGTTACCCCAACCCGGTCTAGGCACCGAGCCGTGGGAGAGAACCCAGGAGTCCTGGCTCCCAGCCCCCCTGCTCTAACTGCTAGGCCCCACTCCCCTCCCCCAGCCGGGAACTCCCGATGCAGACAGCGACCCAGGCCCCCCCCGGACAGGTGCTCCCAGCACTGAGACCCCGGCACCTCCCCGGGCACCAGCCTGGGGGCTCCGGACCCCCCCCCCGCCCCAGCTCTGCGGTGCCCCTCACTCCCGACCCGCAGCCCCCCCAGAAGGGGTATATAGAGATTGAACCCATCCCCTGAATGCTGGAGAGGGGGAGCTAGGGACATGGGGGGGGTTCTGTCCCCTAGAAATTGGGGGTGGGGGGTGGGCATGGGCCGTTTGGGGCAGGAGCTGGGGCTGGGGGGTGAATGGCTGGCGAAAGTGGGGAGCAGATACTGGGGGAGCAAAGAAGAAGGATGGGGGGTGTCAGGGTGGGGGGAGGCCGAGACGGGAGGGGACACCGGGGGAAAGGGGGGTCCGTGGAGGGAGGGGGATTCCAGCAGACAGCGGGTCCCCGGGGGGGGGCGGGGGTCTCTGCCCCCCTCACCTCAGCACCTGGACGGCCTCGGCCGTGCGGGGTCCCTCCAGCAGGACGTAGACAGTCGGGGGAGGCCGCTGGGGGTCGGGATCCCGGGCCCCCTGCCCCGCCCCATGCGACATCCTCTCCCCACCCCCCCGCAGGGCTCCTGGTCTGGGGGGGCGAGCGGGGGTCCCGGCCGGACGGGGGGGCGCTGGGCCGAGGGCGGCTGCGGGACCCCCCGAGCCCCGATCGCGGCCGACAAACACCCGGCCGGAGCGTTATTGCCTCATCCCTGGGCTGGGGGGGATCGCCAAGGGAAATGACGTCACGCAGGGAAACACCCCCCCAGCCCGGCCGGGGGGGGTGCAAGGGGGGCATTTGACACACGAACAGCTGGTGCTTCTCACTCCCGACCCGCAGCCCCTGCCCCCCACCGCTCTGCCCCCCCCACCGCTCTGCCGGTGCCCCTCACTCCGGACCCGCAGCCCCCCTCCCCCCACAGCCCTGGGCCCCCCCCCCCACCAGCTCTGCCCGGCCCTGCCCCCACACTCCCGACCCCCCCAGCAGCCCCACCCCCTGCCCCCCACAGCTCTGCCCCCCCCCCACAGCTCTGCCGGTGCCCCTCACTCCGGACCCGCAGCCCCCTGCCCCCCACAGCCCTGCCCCCCCCCACAGCTCTGCCGGTGCCCCTCACTCCCGACCCGCAGCCCCTGCCCCCCACAGCCCTGCCCCCCCCCACAGCTCTGCCGGTGCCCCTCACTCCCGACCCGCAGCCCCCTGCCCCCCACCGCTCTGCCCCCCCACCGCTCTGCCGGTTCCCCTCACTCCCGACCCGCAGCCCCCTGCCCCCCACCGCCCTGCCCCCCCACCGCTCTGCCGGTGCCCCCTCACTCCCTACCCGCAGCCCCCTCCCCCCCACAGCCCTGGCCCCCCCCACCGCTCTGCCGGTGCCCCTCACTCCCGACCCGCAGCCCCCTGCCCCCCACAGCCCTGCCCCCCCCACCGCTCTGCCGGTGCCCCTCACTCCCGACCCGCAGGGGCCCCCTAGATCCGTATGGGGTACAGTGGTAGCTGCAGTTCTAGGCTTGGCCAGCAGGGGTTGCTCTTACCAGACCTGGACTTGCCTAGGCCCCGCTGGGCTCTGACTGGGGTTACATGGGGGGACAGGCACAAAGCCTCACGTGGATTTTCGGGGGTCCCCCCCGTAAGCCCCTTGGGCTGAGCCCCCTTCTCTGTTCGCACATGTGTGTTTGTGAGTCTGCCGGTGTGTCCAGCGGCATGGGGGCTTGCGTCCACGCGTGTGTCTCTGTCAGTAGTGGTTTGTGGGTTTGTGGGTGAGACTTGTTGCCGTGCGAGTGTGTGCACCTGTCAGTCATTGTTGTGCATGCAAGATTGTGTGTGTGTGTGATTGTGCATCTCTACATATCAGTTGCCATGGTGTGATTGTGTAGCTCTTTGTGGGTATCAGTTGTCATCATGTGTGTCCGATTGTGTGTCTGTGTGTGTATCCGTTCTGGTGGGATGTGTGTGTGATTGTGTTTGCCTGTTTATGTGTCAGTTGTCAGGGTGTGTGCCATTGGGTATCCGTGTGTATCAGCTGTCATGCTGTGCGTTCAGCTGTGCATCGCTGTGTCTATCAGCTATCGTGGTATGGGCGGGCCTGTGCATCTCTGGGTGTATCGGTTGCCATGGTGTGCGTACGATGGTGCGGCTCTGGTTGTGTGTCAGACGGTGGGTGCAGTTGTCTCTCGGGGTGTATCAATTGTCACAGTGACTGCGCATCTGTGTGGGCAATTGTCTACCTGTGTATCCGTTGTGTGTGTGTGAGGGGAGGTTGGGATTGTGCATCTCTGTGTCTGCCAGTCGTCGGGGGGGAGGAGGTGACTGTGCCTCTGTGTATCAGCTGTCCTGGTGTGTGTCGGTCAACACGGTCTGCCTGTCTGTGTTGTGGTGTGTGTACCCCCCTTACAGCCCCCCCCCCTTACAGCCAATCTCTGCGTCACAACGGGCCCCGCCCCCTCCATTCCCTCCAGCGCCCCAAGGGTTAACCCCTGGAGCAGGCGAATTCGAATGACAACACACGCTGTGTGTGTGTGAGCTACACCCGGCCGGCCTGTGCGGGGGGGGCTACCCCCGGCCTGGGCAATGTGTCTCTGTCGGTGTTGCATCGGGAGCCGATTTGCCAATGCTCAATAACCAGCCAGCAACTGTCCGACTGTACAACCCTCCCTCCCTCCTCCGCCTGTTGGCAGCAGGGAGGGTGTGAAACAGGCGCAGGGGAGGTGTAGCCTGGGCAGTTTCAGCAGAAAAAGAGCTGGGATGGATCCGGGAACCAGCTGGATGGATTAAACCAGGGAGGGGGGGCTGGGGGGGAAGCTTGGGGACCCCCCCTTGCACCTCTGGACTGGGGCCTGACTCACACACAGACACACACAGGGCGGTTGTGCATCCACCGATCCAGGAAGCAGAACAGCGCACTCCAGAGAGGAAAGGTAAGAGAGACCCCCCTGGAAAATAGGTTATAGGGGGACTGGCTGGCTCAGGGGGGCAGGGAATGGGGCAGGGGCCTGTCCCCTCTAGGGGGCACCGGCTCCCATCCAGCCCCAGGGCGGGGGACTGGCTGGCTCAGGGGGGCAGGGAATGGGGCCTGGGGCCTGTCCCCTCCAGGGGGCATCGGCTCCCATCAAGCCCCACAGCAGGGGACTGGCTGGCTCAGTGGGGTATGTGTGGAGTGGGATAAGGGCCAGGCGCTGGGGGACACCGTGGGGTTGGGAGCAGGCTGGAGGGCAGGTGGGTGCTGTGCTGTGGGGGCTGGGGGGACTGGCAGAGCTTAGCTGGAACGTGTTCCTGAGGCCCTGTGCGTCCGCTCCGCCCCAGAGGTGGCTGCATCTCAGCGTCCGGCGAGGGCTCTGGTCCGGTGACAGGGGCAGTTGGGGTGGCTGATCTGAGGGTAACCTGAACTGGAAACAGGGGCAGGGGGCAGTTGATGCTGAGTTGCTAATGGGCTAAAGTGGGGGGAGGGAGGGGCTGAGAGCCAGGACTCCTGGGTTCTTTCCCCGGCTCTGGGAGGGGAGTGGGGTCTAGTGGTTAGATTGGGGCGGGGGCTGGGAGCCAGGACTCCTGGGTTCTCTCCTTGGCTCTGGGAGGGGAGTAGGGTCTAGTGGTGAGTGCTGGGAGATGTGGGGGCTGGGAGCCAGGACTCCTGGGTTCCTGGGGCGGGGGGGTTAGCAGTGCTTTGGCCTGACTGCATGGCAGAGTGACCAACTTCGTGCTGCAGGGATAGGTTGCTGCTGAATCTCCCTGGCCCAGCACCTCTCCTCACTCAGCGGGGCTGGCCGAGGTCTCTGGGGGCAGGGGGCATTTTAACGCTTGCAGCGCCAAAGAGGAAAGAGGGCCCCCCCATCGATATGCACAGGCCAGAGGGGGGCTGGAGGGGCCCAGGCCCTGACTCAGGGATTGTCCCTGGCCCCCTAAGCAGCTTTGGAGTCAGCTGATTGCACCAGCAACCGCCGAGTTGTTAATCCCAATTTTAATGAGAGTCAGGAAAATGGACAGACGCCCCTCCCTGCACTGAGCCGGAGAGAGAACCCAGGAGTCCGGGCTCCCAGCCCCACCCTCCCGCTCTAACCACTGGACTTCACTCCCCTCCCAGAGCAGGGTAGGAACCCAGGAGTCTGGGCTCCCAGCCCTCCCTGCTCTAACCACCAGACCCCGCTCCCCTCCCAGAGCCGGGGAGAGAACCCAGGAGTCCTGGCTGGCTTCTGATAGATGATTCATTCCTGGGCTGGTTATGCCGGGACTCTGGAATGCAGGAGGCCCGTCCGACTGGTGCCACCGGTGTCCTTGTGCCTTTGAGAGAGGAGGGAACGTACGCTGCGTAATTAGCTGGCGGGGTGTGTTGCAACTAACTCTGGGGCGGGGCAACCAGGAACCAGCTGCACAGGGACCATTTAGCCACCTTTGGGATGCAGCCACCTCTGGGATGGGGCAGCTGGGAAAAGGCCACACACAACACCACACAGGGAGGGCTCGCCCAGCCCTGAGATGCAGCCACCTCTGGGGCAGGACAGCTGGGGAACAGCCTCACATAACGCCGCACAGGAATGGCTCGCCCGGCGCTGAGATGCAGCCACCTCTGGGGGAGGGGGGGCAACTGGGGAACAGCTGCTGAAAGGGAAACACCCCGCTGTGGGTGGGGGTTCCGTTTTCTGGGGGCCAGCATCCCAAACAGTTTCCTTGAGCAGGAAACCCTGGTGAGTCCAGGGGTGAATTTCACACAGATCCTTTCCGGCTTTTCTGGCATCAAACCCCGTCAGCAAATCTTTGCTGGCACTGGGGGCAGCCCTGTGCTATGGGGGGGGGCTGCTTGGTTCAGCCCCTGGGTGGGGGACCAGGTAGGAACACAATAGAGGGATACCAGCAGGGGGCGCTCTCTCCTGGCAGTCAGGGCCGGGCACTGGATTGGGGGGGGGCTGTGGGGTGGAGGGCTGGGCAGGGGATACTGTGGGGTGAATTCAGTGGGGCTGTGTGGAGCCTCAGGGGGCACTGTGGGGTGGTTTCAGTGGGGCTGTGCTGTGCAATGGGGCTGTGCTGTGGGGCACCTCCTCCCCCCTCGCTCTGTACCTGCCCAGGCCGCAGCCAGGAATGTGTGGGATGCCCCCTCCGGCCCTGCACCATGGGGCGGGGGGCAGCACAAACAGGCCCTGCCAGCCCCCGCAGCCGCCGGGCCGGGGGTCCCCAAATACGTGGGGGGGAGCCCCTCAGTCCAGGGCATGGGCCAGGGCGCGGGACTGCTTAACCCCTGCGGTTCCTGCCGGACGCCGGGGTTCTCCGGAGATTGTGTGTCGGTGTGTTGGAGTGTGGGCTACCCTGCTTGTGTGTGTGTTGTGTTGGTGTGTCTCTGTGTCAGAGTGTGTTACCTTGTGTAGGTGTTATTGGGTGTGCGTGTGTCGTGCTGTATTGTTTTGTGTGTGAGATTGTGGGGCGTTGGAGCGGGCATTGCCTGGTGTGGTGTTACTGTCCGTGTGTTTTGTGTTGAATTGTTGCTTTAGCGTGTGTTGATGTGGTAGTGTGTTATTGTGTTACCTGGTGTAGGTGTTGGTCTGTGTGTGTGTAGGTGCAGTGTGTGCTGCTCTGTGTATTTGCCTGGTGTGTACATCTGTTACCTTGTATGGGTCTGTGTTGTGTGTACGTGAGTGTGTATCTGTGTGAGAGAGGGAGAGAGAAGTGTGTGTGTATCAGTTTGTGTGGAGCTCTGGGTGGATTGTGTCTCACTCTGCATGTGGAGATCTCTGTGTGTGTCACAGCTGGTGTGTAGATCCCTGGGTGCGTGTCCCGGTGCGCGTGTCCCTGGCTGCATGTCCCAGGCTGTGTGTGTCCCTGGGTGGTGTGTACCTGGGTGTGTGTGTCCGGGAGCGGCAGGTGTGTCCCAGGCAGCCAGTCCCTGGGTGTGTGTGTCCCTGGGTGTGTGTCCCCAGCTGGTGTGTCCCTGGCTGTGTGTGTACCTGGCGGTGTGTGTCCCCCCCGTGGCCTGTCCCTGGCTGTGTGTGTCTCCCCGGTGGCCTGTCCCTGGGAGTGTGTGTGTGTCCCTGGGTGTGTGTCCCCGGCTGGTGTGTCCCTGGCTGTGTGTGTCTCCCCGGTGGCCTGTCCCTGGGAGTGTGTGTGTGTCCCTGGCTGTGTGTGTCCCTGGCTGTGTGGTCTCCCCGGGCCCCGGGGGCCTGGGTGTGTGACCTGGGGGGGGGGGCCCCCCCCGGTGGCCTGTCCCTGGCTGTGTGTGTCTCCCTGGGTGTGTGTCCCCCCGGCTGGTGTGTCCCTGGCTGTGTGTGTCTCCCCGGTGGCCTGTCCCTGGGAGTGTGTGTGTGTCCCTGGGTGTGTGTGTCCCTGGCTGTGTGTGTACCTGGCGGTGTGGTCCCCCCCCCCGGTGGCCTGTCCCTGGCTGTGTGTGTCTCCCTGGGTGTGTGTCCCTGGCTGTGTGTGTCTCCCCGGTGGCCTGTCCCTGGGAGTGTGTGTGTGTCCCTGGGTGTGTGTGTCCCTGGCTGTGTGTGTACCTGGCGGTGTGGTCCCCCCCCCCGGTGGCCTGTCCCTGGCTGTGTGTGTCTCCCCGGTGGCCTGTCCCTGGGAGTGTGTGCGTGTCCCTGGCTGTGGGGGGGGCCCCCCCCGGTGGCCTGTCCCTGGCTGTGTGTGTCTCCCTGGGTGTGTGTCCCTGGCTGTGTGTGTCTCCCCGGTGGCCTGTCCCTGGGAGTGTGTGTGTGTCCCCAGTGGCCTGTACCTGGCGGCGTGGCCCGGCCCCGGCGCGCCAGGGGTTAAAGGCGCGGCCCCGCCCCCACTCCCTGCCGTGGCCCCGGATCGCGGCACTTCGCTCCCAGCTCGTCGGGCTCGCGTGGGGGGGGGCTCGTCGCGCCCCCCCGCCCCCCAGGTGAGTCCTGCCCCCAGCCGCTGTGCTTGCGGGGGAAACAGCCCCCCCCAGACCCTGAAAAGGGGGGGGGCAAAGGGAAAAGCCCCCCCAATCCCAGCCCCCCAGGAGACCCCCCCGGGGGTCAGAGCCGCGAACTCGTGTGTTTTCGTCTCGTGGAACAAAGTTAGAGTGGGGGGGGGCTGATCTAAGTCCCCCCGGGGTCACTCCGGAGTCACTCCTGATTGCAATGGGGGTGGGGTCGGCTGCTGATCTCCGCTCCCCAGCACCGAACTGCCCCTCCCCTCATCCGCCCCCCCTAAACACAATAAAACTTAGTCCCCCCCCCGTGCTCTTAACTCCGACGTGGCTAGTGGGGTTAATGGCTGAGCTTGGGGATCACCTCTGGATTGGAAACTGGAACCCGGACTCCTGGGTTCTCCCCCTGGCTCCGGGAGGGGAGTGGGGGCTGGTGGGTTAGAGCAGGGGGTGCTGGGAGCCAGGACTCCTGGGTTCTCTCCCCCGCTCTGCGAGAGGAGTGGGGGCTGCTGGGTTAGAGGGGGAGGGTGGGTCTGAGAGCCAGGACTCCTGGGGTCTCTCCCTGGCTCTGGGAGGGGAGTGGGGGCTGGTGGGTTGGGAGGGGAGCCAGGACTCCTGGGTTCTCTCCCCGGCTCTGCGAGGGAAGTGGGGGCTGGTGGGTTAGAGTGGGGGGGGGGTCTGGAAGCCAGGACTCCTGGGGTCTCTCCCTGGCTCTGGGAGGGGAGTGGGGGCTGGTGGGTTGGGAGGGGAGCCAGGACTCCTGGGTTCTCTCCCCGGCTCTGAGAGGGAAGTGGGGGCTGGTGGGTTAGAGCTGGGGGGCTTGGGAGCCAGGACTCCTGGGTTCTCTCCCTGGCTCTGGAAGGGGGTTGGGGGTGCTGGGAGCCAGGACTCCTGGGTTCTCTAGTGGGGGTGGGGGCGGAAGCTCCCGGGCTGGGGCAGCGCTGAAGGTGTTAGCAGGAAGTTGCTCCTGTGAGGATCCCAGGAGGGGACCTGTCGAGTCCTGCCCGGGGCCGAGCTGGGGCTGCGGAATCAGACGAGCCCCAGGGGCCAGACGCTGTGACGTGCCGGTGTGGGGTGTCGCAAGGACTTCCGGTGCCCCCCCTAGCCCTGCCGGTGCCCCTCACTCCCGACCCGCAGCCCCCTGCCAGCCCGGCCCTGGGCCCCCACTCCCCCAGCTCTGCCGGTGCCCCTCACTCCCAGCCCTGGGCCCCCCCCAGCCCTGCCGGTGCCCCCGACTCCCGACCCGCAGCCCCCTGCCAGCCCTGCCCTGGGCCCCCCCACCCTGGCCCCCCTAGCCCTGCCGGTGCCCCCGACTCCCGACCCGCAGCCCCCTGCCAGCCCAGCCCTGGGCCCCCACCCCCCCAGCTCTGCCGGTGCCCCTCACTCCCAGCCCTGGGCCCCCCCCAGCCCTGCCGGTGCCCCTCACTCCCGACCCGCAGCCCCCTGCCAGCCCAGCCCTGGGCCCCCACCCCCCCCAGCCCTGCCGATGCCCCTCACTCCCAACCCGCAGCCCCCTGCCAGCCCAGCCCTGGGCCCCCCCAGCCCTGCCGGTGCCCCTCACTCCCGACCCGCAGCCCCCTGCCAGCCCAGCCTAGGGGCTGTGGACAAGAACCATTCACGGAACAGGAATTCGCTGCTGTCCATTGAGGATCCTGAGCAACTTGCCCAGGACCCCTTCCCCTCCCGGACACCTGGGTCCCCATTCCAAATCCCTCTCTCCCTCCCCCCATCCCTGGGCTGGAGCCTGGCGGGCAGTTCTGGGAGGCGCGGACCCCATTTCTCCTGACGCCCCTCAGGGGCTAAGGTTGTTGTGATGGCGTTTAGGGGTACGGGTCTGGACACCTGGGTCCCTGGCCCACCTCTGGGGGGCTGGGAGAGCTGGGGCGGGGCCTATTGTCAATCTTGCCCCCAGCCCTTTTGGGGCTGTGAGGCACCCTACAGAGGTCTGGTTCCCCCTGGTCCCTTTGTGGGAGGGGGGGACACCCCCGCAGTTCTGCCATTGGAGGGTCCTGTGTGATGGGGGTGGGGCAGAGATTATATGGCATGTTCCCTTTGGGAGGGGATTGGGGTCTAGTGGTTAGAGCAGGGAGGGCTGGGAGCCAGGACTCCTGGGTTCTCTCCCTGGACCTGCCCAGAAACCTCCTGGATGTTTCTTAGTGGAATTTGTCTCCTTTCTTTCCAGGTCCGAGGCCTTAGATTCCCCCCCACCCCCCTGACCATCACAGGGAGAGGACTAGTAGTGGGAGGCGGGAATGGGGCCTTTGCCCTCTAGGGGGCACTGGCCCCAGGGTGGGGACTGGCTGGCTCGGGGGAGGGATTGGATGGAGCCACTGGGGTGCTGTACGCGGGGGGGGCAGCGGCCTGGCATGGGGAAGTGCCCTGGGTCCCCCTCACCCCATCTCTCTCTCTCTCTCTCCCCCCACAGACGTTGGGGATGGGAGCTCATGGCTCTTAGCCAGGCCTGACCCGGCCCCCCCGCGCTGCCCCCCTGGCCCCAGCATGGAGGTCAAAGGGCAGCTCATCACCTCCTCCAGCTACAGCTCAGCAGGTAATGGCCCCACCCCCCTAGGACCCTGGCCCCGCCCCCAAGGACCCCCTCCTGCCCTGACCCCGCCCAGCCCTTACCTTGCCCGACCCCACCCCCACAGAACTCCCCAGCCTGCCCATGCCTCCCCCCCGCACATATCCCTTTCCTGGCTGTGACCCCCACATCCTCCTGTCTCCTCCCTGCAACTCCGACGCCTCCCCATCCCCCCCCCCCCACCCCCATCAGCTGTGACCCCCGTCTCCTCTCTCCCACCCCCGCGCAGATGCCCTGGGGCGGGACCCCGGCTTGCGGCTGCGGCTGCAGGAGCTGCAGGAGCGGCAGTGGGGCCTGCGGGAGGCGCTGGGGTTGCGGGTCGCCGAGCTGCGCCGGCTCTGTCTGCAGGAGGCCGTGAGTATCCGGGACCCCCCCCGCGCTCCAGGCCTGCCTGGGAGTTAACGCTGTGCCTTGGTAGCTGCATAGCTATAGTAGGCTATTATCCTTCTCTGCCTCTCCCCCTTCAGCGCCAAGGGGGATTTGAACCTGGACCGTCCCCTCTAGACCTGAGGGAGCCGTGCCGCGAGCTGCACAGGCATGGTAGGCTCTTATCCTGCTCTGTCCCATCAGCAGTAGTAGGTTGCTATCCATGGTCTCCAGCCCTCCCCAGGATTTGAACCCACAACCTGGAGCGGCTCCCTATGCTGCCCCTAGATTTAATGGCGTGACCCCATTAGCTGTGTTGCTCGAGTAGGTTGCTCTCCATTTCCCCCCATCAGCGGCAGTGGGTTGTCATCCTCCTCTCCAGCGTGATCTGAACCCACAACCTGTCGTGCGGTGCAGCTCTGTTAGCCGCATACCTATAGTAGGCTATTCTCCTTGTCCATCCCCTCCCCTCCGGCAGTAGTAGGTTGTTATCTTCTGCCATTAGCTGCATAGCGACAGCAGGCTGTTCTCCTAAGGCTTGTGCCCCCGCCCGCCCCCAGGAGCTGACAGGGAAGCTGCCCCCCGAGTACCCGCTGGAGCCGGGGGAGAGACCCCACCCCGTCCGGAGAAGAGCGGTGCCCGCCCACCGGGGACCTGGAGCTGAGGTGAGGAGGGGCCTGGGGGGGCGGGGCTGGGGGGGACAGGAAAGAGGGGGTGGGCTTTTGGGGAAGGGGGGCCATGGAGGAGTTGGGAGGGGGGCTGTGGCTGGATGTGGGGGGGGCACACAGTCTCTAACCCCCCGTCCCCCCAGGCGCTGGCGTGGGAGCTGTGCCGGGAGCCGGGAGGGCGGTGGGAGCCGGGGGGGGCTGTGGCTGGGGGGGCGCAGTCTCTAACCCCCGTCCCCCCCAGGCGCTGGCGTGGGAGCTGCGCCGGGAGCCGGGGGGGGCTGTGGCTGGGGGGGCGCAGTCTCTAACCCCCGTCCCCCCCAGGCGCTGGCGTGGGAGCTGTGCCGGGAGCCGGGAGGGCGGTGGGAGCCGGGGGGGGCTGTGGCTGGGGGGGCGCAGTCTCTAACCCCCGTCCCCCCCAGGCGCTGGCGTGGGAGCTGTGCCGGGAGCCGGGGGAGGGGGCTGCGGCTGGGGGGGCGCAGTCTCTAACCCCCGTCCCCCCCAGGCGCTGGCGTGGGAGCTGTGCCGGGAGCCGGGGGGGGCTGTGGCTGGGGGGGGGGCGCAGTCTCTAACCCCCGTCCCCCCCAGGCGCTGGCGTGGGAGCTGTGCCGGGAGCCGGGAGGGCGGTGGGAGCCGGGGGGGCTGTGGCTGGGGGGCGCAGTCTCTAACCCCCGTCCCCCCAGGCGCTGGCGTGGGAGCTGTGCCGGGAGCCGGGGGGGGCTGTGGCTGGGGGGGGGCGCAGTCTCTAACCCCCGTCCCCCCCAGGCGCTGGCGTGGGAGCTGCGCCGGGAGCCGGGGGGGCTGTGGCTGGGGGGGGGGCGCAGTCTCTAACCCCCGTCCCCCCCAGGCGCTGGCGTGGGAGCTGTGCCGGGAGCCGGGGGGGGCTGTGGCTGGGGGGGCGCAGTCTCTAACCCCCGTCCCCCCCAGGCGCTGGCGTGGGAGCTGTGCCGGGAGCCGGGAGGGCGGTGGGAGCCGGGGGGGCTGTGGCTGGGGGGCGCAGTCTCTAACCCCCCGTCCCCCCAGGCGCTGGCGTGGGAGCTGTGCCGGGAGCCGGGGGGGGCTGTGGCTGGGGGGCGCAGTCTCTAACCCCCGTCCCCCCAGGCGCTGGCGTGGGAGCTGTGCCGCCGGGGGCTGTGGCTGGGGGGGGGCAGTCTCTGCCCCCCAGGCCTGGCGTGGGAGCTGTGCTGGGAGCCGGGAGGGCGGTGGGAGCCGGGGGGCTGTGGCTGGGGGCCAGTCTCTAACCCCCGTCCCCCCAGGCGCTGGCGTGGGAGCTCGCCGGGAGCCGGGGGGGCTGTGGCTGGGGGGGGGGGCAGTCTCTAACCCCGTCCCCCCAGGCGCTGGCGTGGGAGCTGTGCCGGGAGCCGGGGGGGCGGGGGGGGCGCGTCTCTAACCCCCGTCCCCCCAGGTGCTGGCGTGGGAGCTTGCCGGGAGCCGGGAGGCGGTGGGAGCCGGGGGGCTGTGGCTGGGGGCGCAGTCTCTAACCCCCGTCCCCCCCAGGCGCTGGCGTGGGAGCTGCGCCGGGAGCCGGGGGGGGCTGTGGCTGGGGGGGGGGGCGCAGTCTCTAACCCCCGTCCCCCCCAGGCGCTGGCGTGGGAGCTGCGCCGGGAGCCGGGGGGGGCTGTGGCTGGGGGGGCGCAGTCTCTAACCCCCGTCCCCCCCAGGCGCTGGCGTGGGAGCTGTGCCGGGAGCCGGTGGGAGCCGGGGGGGGCTGTGGCTGGGGGGGCGCAGTCTCTAACCCCCGTCCCCCCCAGGCGCTGGCGTGGGAGCTGCGCCGGGAGCTGGCCGTGCAGCGGCAGGTGGTGGAGGCCGCACGGCGCCTGGCCCTGGCCCCGGAGCTGTCGGATCAGCAGCGTCGCCGGCGTCGGCAGGTCCAGGCCGAGGCCGCCCAGCGCCTGCGGGAGCTGGAGGGGCAGCTGGGGGAGACGCGGGCCCGGCTGGGGGCGCCCCGGGGAGCGCACGGTGAGAGAACCCCCCCCATCCCAGCATCCCAACCCCCCGAAATCTCCGGGCCCCTCACTCTGGACCTCCCCACCGTCCCTGAGCCCCCCGGGCCTGACCCCATGGGGCACACCCTGAGAACCAGAGCCCCCCGAACGCCCCCACAGGCCCCCTTGTCTCCCTGACACCCCCATAGTCCCTTGGATACCCCCATGCCCCCCCCAAATGCCTTCACAGCCCCCTTTCTTTCCCAGATGGCCCCCTAGCCCCTCGGACACCCCTCTTCTCCCTCATCACTCCTCCTGAGTTCCTGTCCCCCGACCCCCCGCCAAGCCCCTCAGTTTCCCCTGACCCCCCCCGGCCTCCCCCTCACTGCCCCCGCTGCATTCGTGACCGCCAGCATGCCAGAGATTTTCAGAAGGGGGGGATGTTCCAGCACCCCCAAGGCTGTTAAGGGGGGGGGATTGCAGACTTTGGGGGGGGGGGCTGGCACCGGCGGGGGCTTATAGGGGACTGACCCATCTCCCGGTTTCCATTCCCCAAGATGAGGCGTTCACCTCCGAGAACAGCTCCCTCTCCGAATCGGCCAGTCACGAGAACAGTGAGTGTGTCAGGATGCCTGGGTTCTCTCCCTGGCTCTGGGAGGGGAGTGGGGGCTAGTGGTTAGAGCGGGGGGGGGGCTGGGAGCCAGAATGCCTGGGTTCTCTCCCTGGCTCTGGGAGGGGAGTGGGGTCTGGTGCTGGGGGGGTGGGGCCCCCAGACCGGTGGGGTGTGGTGGGACAGTGTGCAGGTGGGGTGGACAGCTTGGCTTGCAGCCCGGACTCCTGGGTTCCACCCTTTGCCTTGCGTTCTCTCCCCCAGACGACCCCCACGGTTTCCACCCGCCCAAGGTGGGCCCCTCGTCCCCCCGCAGCCGGGATCACCTCCGCGCCGTGTCCGGCAGCCCCGACCGCCGGCCTGGCTGGCGAGGGCCCCCCACGGAGCTGGGGGGGGGGGCCGCCAGCCGCCGCAGCTCGCTAGCCAGCCCTACCAGGTGGGTACAGGCCAGAGCCCCCCCCCGCAACCCGCTTCTCACACCCCTGGTCTCCCCTGCTGCCTCCCACTCCCCCCATTTACCCAGCCCCCCAGCCAGTGGGGTTCCCCCAGCCCCCCGTCCCAGCTGGTCTCAGGTTTTGTTTGCTCCCCCTCAGCCCGAGTCGGACCCTGCCCCGGAGCGTGTCCAGCTTTGAGGGCCGGAGCGTCCCAGCGACCCCGGTTCTGACCCGGACCATCTGCAGCGGGAGCCACGTCAGGTACCGGAGCAGAGCGCCCCCTAGCGCCCCCCAGCCCCGCCCGGGGGAGAGCGCCCCCCCCTCCCCAGGGCCCCGCCCGGAGCAGAGCGCCCCCTAGCGCCCCCCCAGCCCCGCCCGGAGCAGAGCGCCCCCTAGCGCCCCCCCCAGCCCCGCCCGGGGGAGAGCGCCCCCCCCCCCCAGGGCCCCGCCCGGAGCAGAGCGCCCCCTAGCGCCCCCCCTCCCGTTTCCCGCCCGGGGGAGAGCGCCCCCCCCCTCCCCCAGGGCCCCGCCTGGAGCAGAGCGCCCCCTAGCGCCCCCCCAGCCCCGCCCGGGGGAGAGCGACCCCCCCTCCCCAGGGCCCTGCCCAGCAGCGCCCGGGGGAGAGCGCCCCCTAGCGCCCCCCTCCCGGGGCCCCGCCCGGAGCAGAGCGCCCCCTAGCGCCCCCCCAGCCCCGCCCGGGGGAGAGCGACCCCCCCGCCCCAGGGCCCTGCCCAGCAGCGCCCGGGGAGAGTGCCCCCCAGCCCCCGCCCGCCGGGGAGAGCGCCCCCTAGTGCCCCCCCCGCCCTGCCCGGGGGAGAGCGCCCCCTAGTGCCCCGCCTGGGGCCCCGCCCGGCCCTGCCTGGGGGAGAGCGCCCCCTAGCGACCCCCTGCCCCATGGTGCCCCACAGTGCCCAGACCTGCCTGGGGAGAGCGCCGTCTGCCGAGACCCGCACCTGACCCCCGCAGCACAGCGACACCCCCCCCCGGGCGTCTCCGCTTCACCCCTCGGTCTCCCGTCCTGCTTAGCGGGAGTTGGGCAGGATCTGTCTAGGTGGGGGCGTGACGTTGGGCTTTGGGGTTGGGGGGTGAATCGGGGGGGCTCTGGGGGTCACTTTGGAGGCAGTGGTACTGAATTTGGGGTGCCTGCCCTCACTAACCCCCCTTTTCTTTGTGCCCTCCCCCCAGGCCGGACGCCCCCCCAGCCACCCGTCAGTGGTCGGGGAGCCAGGACTCCCAGCTCGGCCCCCCCAGCCGGGACCCCAGCGCCGACCGGGCCCCCCCAGCCTTCGCCGCCCGAACCCGCCGCAGTAACAGCTCGGAGGCCCTGATCGAGCGGGGAGCCCCCCCCGAAGACCCTCCTTTCCGTGGCCCCCCCCGGCCCCCATACGCCGAGATCCTCCTGGACTATTACCTGGAGCCCCACTGCTCGCCGGCCGGAGCCCACCTCTCGCGCCGCGATGCCCCCCCGCCTCCCGGCTGGGGGTACCCCGAGAGCCCCCTGCCACGCCGGGCAGGGCGCGCCAAGTCCTGCGGGCCCCCTCCCCAGAGCCAGCCGCCGGCCCCCAGCGCCCGCCCCGGGCCGTCCACAAAGCCTTGGCCCTGGAGGGGCTCCGGAACTGGTACCTGCGGAACGCCGGCGGAGCGGGGGGGGCCCCCCCGCCCCGGGACAGGAGAGGGGGGGCCCCCCGTGGCTGGCCCGAACCCCACCCCCGGCCGGAGACGGGGGGCTACCTGCCCCATTCGCTGAGCTACGCTGGGCAGCCGCTGCAGGGCAGGTATGGGCGTCGGGGGGTCTGGCAGCCCTGAGTTAAGGTTGGGGGCTAGGGGACCCACCCCCCCCTCAGAATCAGCCCCCCCATCTCTCCCCCACAGCAGGGGTACGCCAGCCAGAGGGGGTTGTTTGGGGGCGGGGGAGGCTCATGCGTCTCTTGCTAGGGCGTCGGCCGTTCATCAGCTTCCCCCCCTCCCCACCTGCATGGGCTGTGTTGGAGGAAAGGACCCAGGCGTCCGAGAGGTGTGTGGGTGTGGGGGGGGGGGGCGTTAAGGACCCAGGTGTCTGACTTGGCTGCAGGGTTGGGGCACGGGGGACCCCGGTGTTGGTGGGGGAGGCAGGAAAGGACCCAGGCATCCGGCTCTGCTCCCTGGAGTTGTGGGGAGGGGGCAGCAAGTAGGGACCCAGGCGTCCGGGGAAGGGTGACTCTCTCTGCTATGACTTAATCCATCTCCCCCCTGCACCTTCCTCTGGCTAATCTCTCTCTCTCTCTCTCTCTCTCTTCCCCCCACATCTCTCCCCCCACATCTGTCTCCCCACCCCACACGTCTGTCTCTGTCTCTGCCTCTGTCCGGCAGACCCTTCGCAGACCTCCTTTACCCGGACGGACCCGGTGCCCCCTCCCCCAGCCTGGGGCCCCCCTTGGATGTGGAGAGACACCCCCCAGGGACGCTGGTCTGACCTCCATGTGGGGAGGCAGGGACAGCCAGGGGTTAATCTCACATGGGGGGACGCTCCCCTGCTGGACGGGGGTGTGTGGCATCAGGCGGATTAGATGTGGGGGGAGAGTCACACGGCCCCCCCGCTAGGGTGGTGTGGGGCACGGATGCTCAGCCCCCCATGGGCTGAGACGACCCCCCCCCCAGCAACCTCAATCTCCCCCCTGCCCACATTCAGATATGGGGGACAGGTCCTGGCTGGGAAATCAGCCACCAACTGAATTCCTGTTCCCACTGGGAGTAACTGCCCCCCCCCAAACCCTCCCCTTTCTAAAAGTCTGGACAGACACCCCCCCGCCCCGCCCAACACCTATCCGCTCCCTGACACCCCCCTCATGTTCCCTCCCCCGCGTCTGGCCATACCCCCCACACCACATCCCTCTCCCCAAACTGAGACAGATGCTCCCCTTCCCTCCCCCATCCAGTGAGCCCCTCCCAAAACAGCCCCCCCCTCCTGTCCGGCTCAATTAGGAAACGAACTCAAATTCTTGACATTCCAGCCCTGGCCGGTGTCCGGTGGATTTTCCTTTAAAAGTTACACACAAGAAGAAAGTCACTTTTTTTTCCTTTTCCCGCTGGATTTTATTTAGGGGGAACTGGCAGGCGGGGGGTGGGGGGTGGGATTCTACCTCCCAGGTCCCCCCCCACACACCTCCCATGATCCACGTGTTAGTAGCGACGGGCACCAGCATGCGACGGGCTCTGGACCTCGACTTCGCCCCGTTCCCAGCGCGTGGATTGTAACGGGAATTTCTTTGGCAAATGTCAAACTGCTCACGGTGCAGAACGGGGTTTGTATAATACAGAGCGCAAAGGCGAGGCTGTGGCATGGTGGCTTGGCTGGGGAGGGGCGGGGGGGGAGGGCATTTCCGACCAGTTGGGGAGAAACGTCCCAAAATGTGATGCCTGCCTGAGTCTGCAGAGAGCCTGCGCCGATCGCTCGCAGAGGAGTGAACTGTCCTTAGGCCAGGTCTACCCTACAGACTTAAATCAGTATAACTATGTCGCTTCGGGGTGTGAAAAATCTACACCCCCCCCCGAGCAACATAGTGACCTCGACCTAACCCCCCCGTGTAGACAGTGCTAGGTCGGTGGAAGAACTTCTCCTTGCACCTCTCAGGCAGGTGGATTAACGATGGGAGAGCACGCAAGGGCGTGAGCCACTCACTGCCTCCAAATGGGGCATTAAATGCCCCCCTCCCGGCAGGACATACAGCATGCACCAGGACGGGGCCTGCCCCGCTCCCTCCCAAAACCAGCAAATTACCAGGGGATCCCACTTCTCCCACTAATGCCCCTGGCAGTGCCCTTCTGGCTTTTTTTCTTTGCTAAAAACCTTGGGGGGAAATCCATGAGGCAAAGGGTTCCACAGATTAACGTTAAAAAGCATGCGCCCTTGGGTCAGTGACATCTCACATCAGAAAGGACCAGAGTGATCCTCCAGGGTGACTTGCCCTGTCTCACACAGGCCAGAGAACTGCCCCCCAATAATTCCTCGAGCAGAACTTTGAATTCTGTTGGATTTCCTTCTAGTGGCTTTGGGAGACCCTACATAAACCAAGTAAAAAATGCCTCCAGCTATGCGGTAAAAGAAAACCTGGATTATTCCATCCCCACCCCCCCCCCCACCCCATAAACCCTTGAGCCAGCCAGACCCCCCACCCTGGGACCAGACTAGAGCCAGCGCCCCCTAGCGGGGAAAGGCCCCATTTCCCACCCCCTCAAAGCTATGCAAGCATTTATAGCAAGAAATGGCACAGAAGTTTTATTAGAATAGTTGTTTTTGCTCCTCAAATAAATAGAAGGAGTTGTGGATAAATACTCTGCGCCAGATGCAGCATCCCACTGAGTCCTCAGTGCCCCCTTGGGGTCCCCCTTGAATACACCCCCTCCCACTGCCCCAGCCCTCCCAGTGTTAAAGCCCCTTGTTTCTTTCGTTGCTGTACAAACAGGGTATTTCGGTAGGGCCTACGTAAACAGACCGAGGGGGTTGGTCCCTGGGTCAAATCACGTGGCAGTTAGTTCCACAGGCTAACCACTCCCCCTTCTCTGCTAAATTCTCCATGCCCCTGGGTCCAAACACGTGGTCGTTCAAATGATTACCCAGCTCTCAGCCCCTTGCTGGGCCAAATCATGTAGTGGGGTAGTTCCACAGGCCATTCTCCCCTCTGCCAAATCATGTGGAAGGTAGTTCCACAGGTTAACCATAGTTCATCCTCCTCCTGTTAAGCTCTCCAGGCCTCTGGGTTAAATCATGTGGTTGGTAGTTCCACATGTAAACCATAGCCTGTTCTCCCCTGTTAAAGTCTTCGGACCTTGGGATCAAATCATCTGGCAAGTAGTTCCGTAGGGCCCCCCTCCCACAGCTAAACTATCTGGTCCTCTGTAACAAATCATGTGGCAGGTAGTTCCACAGGTTAGCCATAGCTGATCCCCTCCCCTACTCCAACTTCAAGACCCTGGCTCGAGTCAGAGGGACGCTGCATCTTCATGGTAGTGAGCGTGTGCGTGTAGGAGAGTAGTGAAGCGCAGGCCCGAGGCAACGGTGAGGGGCTGGTGGGAAGGACGGGGGGGGGGGGGTCCGTCTCGCTCCTTAAGAGCCAGCTTCTTGTTCCTGGCCCATCGCCTCCAACAGTAGCCCCATGGGCGTCCTCTTCAGCCCAATGCTCTCGATCTTGTTCTCGATTTTATTCTTGAGGTTCCGGAGGCGAAAGGAGGCGTGGATCAGAATCACTGCAAGTGGCGGTGGGGGGGAAAGCGAGAAAGTGGGGGGGCTGAAAGCGTCCCCCGTCACTTGCTGAGAGCAGCCCCCGGCCCCCGCAACCCAAGTCCTGCGACACAGCAAGGCGGCAAGTCGCTCCCCCCTGCCGCAGCTCGGATGCATCTGCCGTGCAGGGAGCGTTTGCATGCAACCTCCCCCAGTGAAAGCTGCCCCGGGGCGGGGACTGCAGGCAGGGATGCTGCGGCGAGAATACATGGGCCGTGCCCCCGCCCGCTGGCAAAAGGAGGCAGCAGCATGGGGTCTGCCTAGGTGGATGCGCCTCTAACATGCAACCGAGCAGCGACGGCCCCCAAGGCTCTTGCAGCTAAACTGCAGGGGCCTGCTGCGCGCAGGGATGCTCCCGCTGGCATGGAGCGGCCCCCCCGGGCACAGCCGCCGCAGGGGGAATGCAGCCAATGCCGCTGCCCCCCGCAAGAGGCTGGCGCACCGGGCAGCGCCTGCAGGCAGGGGGGCTTGCAGCAGGGCCCCCGAGCACAGCGCTGCAGGAGCCGTTCCTCGAAGATGCAACCGCCCGCAGCAGGAAGGCTGCGGGAACGGCCCTGCCGAGGCGGCCTTGGAAATGCAACTGCCCTCCAGGGTGGGGGTTGCATGCATGGATCTGGCAGCAAGGAAGTGGCAGCTGTGCCCCCCCCCCTTTGCCCTCCCAGCGCCAGTATGCAGCCTGTGACCCATTGATCTGACCCCCCCCCCCAGTCCATGCACTGTGTTACCCCCGGCCTGCCCAACCTCCCCCACTTTACTCACCCCCCATCAATCCCACTTCCCCCAATCAACCCCACTGCATGCCCCCACCTCCCTGATCTCTGCTACCCCATGTGTCCCCACCCCCAAATTCTACCCCAGCAAACCTGGCCCTCTTCCTCAGTGCTACCTTGCCCCACAGCATTCCCCAGGCCCTACTTAACCTGACCCCGTAGATTCCACACCCCATCAGGCCCCCACCTGCCGCCCATCCCTCTCCCCGACTCACTGGAGATGGGCAGGGTGACTGTCAGCAGGAAGACCCTCGAGCCCCCCAACAGGGACACCAGGCCGTAGGCGCTCCCCCAGCACGGCCAGGAGGCTGGCGCCGGGATAGCTGCTCCGGAAGCGCCGAATTGGAGCCTTGTTCTCGGCCGCCCAGACAAAGGCGACGAAGACGAGGGTCACGGCGGAGCCAGAAAGCAGGGTGTGCAGGGGCCGGAAGTACCTGTGGGGACAGGGCAGAGTGAGTACCCAGGAGTCTGGACGCCCACATTCTGCATTGATCCTACCCTCACACCTTGCACACCCCCCCGGAGCATGCCCAGCCCCCAACCACTTGCATTGAACCCATGGGGAGCAGGCACGCCCCCCCTTGCAATGACCCCCCTGAGAGCATTGCACAGCCCCCCCACCCCTTGCACTGACTCCCCCGGAGCATGCATAGCCCCCTCCCTCCTTGCACTGACCCCCTCCCCGAGCATACACGGCCCCCCTTGCATAGAGCATGCCCAGCCCCCAACCGCTTGTACCAACCCCCTGGGGAGCATGCATGGCCCCCCACCCCTTGCACTGACACCCCCCACCAAGCATTACACCTCACCCCTTGCATTGACCCCCCTGGAGCATGCACGGACCCTCCCCCTTGCACTGACCCCCCCCGGAGCATGCACGGACCCTTCAGAACATGCACTGACCTCCACCCTTTGCACTGACCCCCCCCGTAGCATGCAAAGCACCACACTCCTTGCATTGACCCCCCCGCTGCATACAAGACCCCCAACCCCATGCACGGACCCCCCCCCAGAGCATACACTGACCCCCCCCCGTAGCATGCAAAGCCCCACACTCCTTGCGCTAACCCCCCCCCCGGAGCATGCACGGACCCCCCCTTTCACTGACCCCCCCGTAGCATGCAAAGCCCCACACTCCTTGCGCTAACCCCCCCCCCCGGAGCATGCACGGACCCCCCCCCTTGCACTGACACCCCCCCGGAGCATGCACCCCCCCCTTGCCCTGCCCCCCCCGCCGGCGCTCACCCCCCCAGCAGCAGCGCCAGCCCCAGGCCCAGCCCGTAGTTGCTCTGATAATACAGCAGGTTGTTGAGGACCCGGTTCCTCCAGCGCTGCGGGGCGCGCGGGTCCGGGGCCGCCAGGCGCGCGGGGCCCAGCAGGAAATCGCCCAGCGCCCGCAGCGGGGGCGGCCGCACCTCGGACATCTTCAGCGCCGGCGGGAGGGGGGACTACAGCCCCCGGCATGCACCGCGCCGCCCCCGCCCGCCCGCCGGCCGGGGCCTCCCGCCGCGGCGCCGCCTGGGAAATGGAGTCCTGGAGGCTGCAGCGGGGAGAACGGAACAAAAGTGGGGTGGGGCTGGGAGCCCGGACTCCTGGGTTCTCTCCCCGGCGCTGGGAGGGGAGCCGGGTCTAGTGATTAGAGTGGGGCGGGGGGCGGGGCTGGAAGCCCGGACTCCTGGGTTCTCTCCCCGGCGCTGGGAGGGGAGCGGGGTCTAGTGATTAGAGGTGGGGGCCTGGGAGCCCGGATTCCTGGGTTCTCTCCCCGGCGCTGGGAGGGGAGCGGGGTCTAGTGATTAGAGCCGGGGGGCTGGGAGCCCGGACTCCTGGGTTCTCTCCCCGGCGCTGGGAGGGGAGCGGGGTCTAGTGATTAGAGCCGGGGGCTGGGAGCCCGGACTCCTGGGTTCTCTCCCCGGCGCTGGGAGGGGAGCGGGGTCTAGTGATTAGAGGGGGGGGGCCTGGGAGCCCGGACTCCTGGGTTCTCTCCCCGGCGCTGGGAGGGGAGCGGGGTCTAGTGATTAGAGCCGGGGGGCTGGGAGCCCGGACTCCTGGGTTCTCTCCCCGGCGCTGGGAGGGGAGCGGGGTCTAGTGATTAGAGCCGGGGGGCTGGGAGCCCGGACTCCTGGGTTCTCTCCCCAGTGCTGGGAGGGGAGCGGGGTCTAGTGGTTAGAATGGGGCGGGGGGTTGGGGGCCCGGACTCCTGGGTTCTCTCCCCGGCTCCTGGTACGGGATCCCAACCCCCCCTCGGCCCAGTTCTCACCTAATTGTTCTGCAACCGGCTACCG